TAGCAATGAATGCGAAACAGAAGGAGAAGCCGGTAACACAGAGACACACTGCCTCTCCAAGAATTGTCATCTTAAGGTGGTGGAGGGGTTTGCGTGTCCCCATGATCCTGGGACCGGAGGCCTGGTCAGGCTCAGCCCAAATGGGTAACATGGGGCCTCCACCCTGTGGGCCCACCACCTGCAGGGACTGGCATTGGGGTTGGGTGCATTGTGTACCGGGAGGCAGGCAGGGGCGGGGCCCTGGGCATGCTGATCCCCAGCGTCGCGGACTGGCTCTAGGGATGTGAAATGTCACCTCTCTGGTGGGGAAGGAGCAGGAGCTGGTGCGGGAAGTGGAGCGGTACAAACTAGATAAAGTTGGGCTCACCACCTTGCTCAGCACTGATTGTGGATCCAAACTCCTGGAGAGGGGCCGGACTCTCGCTTTTTCCGGAATTGCTCAGGACGAGAGGTGCCGGGCGAGTGTGGGGATACTCACAAGCCCACAGCTGAACGCCGCTGTGTTGGAGTTCTCCCCAGAGAACGAGAGGGTCGACTTGATGCAACTGTGGGTCACTAATAGAAGGTCTCTTACTGTTGTTCGTGCGTACGCACCAAACAGCATTATGGAGTACCCAGCCTTCTTGGAGTCTCATCGCAGTGTCCTGGAAGGGGTGCAGGCTGGGGACTCCATAGTTCTTCTGGGGGACTTCAACTCTCACATGGACAATGCCAGAGAAACCTGGAGGGGGTGATTGGGAGGAACGGCCTGCCTGACCTGAACCTGAGTGGTGTTTTGTTATTGGACTTCTGTGCAAGTCATGGCCCGGCCATAACAAACACTATGTTCGGAAGAATTTCTCGTGAATCCCGGGGAAGGTTGGGGATATGGAATCCGAGAGGTCCCGTTCAAAGCCACCTTTGTGGAGGCGGCTGATAGAAGCTGTGGTCAGAATGTTGTCTGTGCCTGTCATGGTGGCAACTGTGAGGTAGGCCGTCAGGGTGAAGAAGGAGGCCTTTTCGGGTCTGGCTGGCCCAGGGGTCTCCTGAAACAGCAGACAGGTACCAGTTGGCCAGAAGTGCTGCAGCTGTTCGCTGAAGCAAAAACCCGAATGTGGGAGGAGTTCGGAGGCTATGGAGAAGGACTTTCATCTGGCCTCAAGGAAGTTCTGGCAGACTGTTAGACATCTCAGGAAGGGAAAGCAGGGCTTGTCTCAGGCTGTGCTCAGCAGACATGGAGATCTGCTGACCCGAACTGAGGACATCGTTGAGCGGTGGAAGGAGTACTTTGAGCAACTCCTGAACCTGGCCGTCACATCCACCATGGAGGAGGCAGGTTGACACGCCTTTTCAGTGTCGCGTGGATTGTCCGGTATGGTGCCTGCTGAGTGGCAGGCTGGGGTGGTTGTTCCCATTGTCAAAAAAGGGGACCAGAGGGTGTGCTCCAACTATCGTGGCATCACACTACTCAGCCTCCTGGGGAGTTTACTCCAGGGTGCTGGAAAGGAGGCTCCGACCGATTGTCGAACCTCAGATTCAGGAGGAGCAATGCGGATTCCGTCCTGGTCGTGGAACAATGGACCAGCTCTTTACCCTTGTGAGGCTGCTAGAGGGGTTGTGGGAGTTTGCCCATCCAGTCCACATGAGCTTTGTGGACTTGGAGAAGGCTTATGAAGGCGTTCCTCAGGGGGGTCTTGTGGGGGGTACTGTGGGAGTATGGGTACCGGGCTCACTGCTACGAGCCATCCGGTCCCTGTATGACAGAAGTGAGAGCTGTGTCCGAATACTCGACGTAAAGTCAAACACGTTCTCGGTGGGTGTTGTCCCTTGTCACCGACTCTGTTTGTGATATTCATTGACAGGATCTCGAGGCGCAGCTGGGGAGAGGAAGGGGACCGGTTTGGGGACCTCAGAATTGCATCTCTGCTTTTTGCAGACAATGTGGTTTTGTTGGCTTCATCACACCATGACCTCCACCATACACTGGGGCGGTTTGCAGCCGAGTGTGAAGCAGTTGGGATGAGAGTCAGCACCTCCAAATCTAAGGCCATGGTTCTCTGCTGGAAACCAGTGGATTGCCCTCTCTGGGTCGGGGGAGAGTTACAGCTTCAAGCAGGGGAGTTCAAGTATCACAGGGTCTTGTTCATGAGTGAGGGTAGAAAGGAGCGTAAGATGGATCGGCGGTTTGGTGTGGCTTCTGCATAGTGTTGTACCGATACTGATGCCAGGCATCGGCGAGTACAGCCTATGACCAATCTGATACCACGTAATGTCTCACGTCATTACGCATACGCACACTATCGTTTGAACATTGCCATCGCAGTGTGCGCATGTGCGATAGTCACATCGCAGGACATGCAATGTTTTCTCTTTTTTAGAACATATTAACTTTTGTTTTGCTTCAGAAAAGCAGCTCTGTCTCTCGCTGTCTCTCCCTCTCTGACAACAGCCACCCCTCCCCCTCTCATGCACACGCTGCAGTCACACACTGAAAATGAGCAACATGCAAGATGGAGAAACGGTAAGTAAGGTTTTATGCCTGGTACACACTACACAACTTTTCTGCCCGTTCTGAAAGTCACTATGTCACATTATACGATTGTAGAGTCATAAAATTGTTCCGTGACTTGGCCGACAGACATGACACACTACACAATGGTACATACTAATGATCCCCGGTCGTCTTACACGATGTGTGTGATGTCATCGGGTTATTCTTGTCCTATTTTTATTTTTTTTACTATTATTTCAGTCACTGTCTGTTTATGTGCCAGCCGAAATGTTGTTGTAGTCACCTAAAAAGTGCCAGCAGATGGCAGGAGCTACATTTGAAGTACCGTATGTAAACATAAAAGTCACTGATTTCTCACACAGTCTTCACCCGACTTAAACACTGAAATTAAAACAAGAATAAATAAAAGAAAAGAGGGAGAAATTTTTCTATTTCATTTTATCACAGAGTTGCAGGCTTTAAATCCTGTGTGGGTGTGGACCCTGGCAGAGTTGTAGGGGTCACATGTGAGCTCTTTGGCCCAATCCCAATACCCCCCTTGTCAACTACCCCTTAGCCCTTGGCCCTACCCCTCGCCCTTGCCCACTACCCCTTGGCCCTTGAAATGAAGCAATGAGGGGTAGGGGGTTGAAATCTTTCCCTAGGAATTGGGACACCACTCACTACGTCACCGCGTCGGTTATGCATACATAACCATTTTAAACAGGAACCTGCGAGCCATCTACATTTCCAACCAGCATCTACAATGGAGTCTCCAGTTGAGTTCATCCTACCAATCGCGTTTGCTGTATTCATCATGCTTTGTTTGATGAACGACAGACGACAGGGGACTTCTGCTAATCTCGATCAGCTGAGCCCAGGTAGACCGGCCTCTACATTATGCTGCTCCTAGCAGTATGGCGAGAGACGCCAGCGAGTGAGCCAGAAGTGAGTCAGAAATGAGCCAGAAGTCCTCTGCGTATTCGGCCTACCACGACATTTTACACCGCTCAAAGTCCGCGAAAGAGGTACGCTTCCCTGTGGAATATCATCCATCCGGCCACCAGCCTGAACTCAGATTCCCCGCCACGGATATCAAGGGATCCTACGGAGCCTCCACGCTCGAAACAATGCTGGAGCGTTACGGCATTCACCTACGGTCCCGTGAGTTGGCAAAAGCCGGGAGTTAATTTACGTTTCATTATTCCTTATTTGGAACCTTCGGGCCAGGTTGATTTATTGTTTTGAAACTGAACTGAGTCAGAGTGAACAGTGGATTTTCTTTACTTCCTTGTTTACGAGAAAATCTGGGGTGGAGTTTTCTTTTGTTGAGCGAACTGTGTGGATTGAACTGAATTGAACTGTGATATGTTATTTGGAAATCCTTAAGTGGAGTTTTTTGTTTGAACAGGATTGAACTGACTGAACGGAATGGAACATTCATTTCTTTTCTTTGGTGAAAAAAATATATACTTTCTTGAAACTGATTACAGTTGTATTTGTATTTTTGAAAATTGAGTATAATTCTTTTGTTCTACAGAAACCATTTAAAAACAATTTAATTTTGGTGTTAAGGGACCTGTTTTATGGGTTTTATGGTTTTTTTGTGGGGTTTGAGTGAGTAAAAGAAAAATATTTGTTTCATGTGTCAAATCGCTACAAAAGATATAGGCCTATTTTGTTTATTGAAAACAAGAAGATATTGAATTTGTTTACATTTTGTGCTGCTGAACCACCGATAAGCTTTTTGGATACTGTTTAAATTAAAAAAAAAAAACTTATGGGACAACTTTTTTCCCTTAATGCTTTGCAAAGTATCGGATCATACTAAGTATCAGACTCGGTTTCAAAATAAAGGACTCGGTATCGGATCGGATGCAAAAAAAATGTGATCGGGACATCCCTACTGGAAAGTGTTGATGAGGAGAGGGACGTCTGGGGTGCTTTGCTTGGTCTGCTGCCCCCGCGACCCAGCTTCGGATAATCAGGATTAAAATGGATGGTTTGATGGATGGAGGAGACACAGTTCATGCTGAGTCATCAGCTGAAAGAGTTAAATTTTTTAAAATACATGGATGGGAGGAAAATAATGAATGGCAATCTATGGTGATTGTTTTGCCTGTGACGTAATAGATCAACTAGAAAGAGGTCCAATCCTGGAGCTGAAAGGGACCATATCGCCACCAATTGTAGCAGAGTGGGACAACCTTTGGTCAATAAATCGATTCCCCTCCCCTGCTTGTATACTGGGACAAGGACAGTAGTCCAATTAAATGGACTAGTTGAGCTATAACCTTGGCTTGACTTAACTGTGCCTGTAAACGTACTGAATGTTGGACAAAATTGGACAGCAGTTCTCACTTAACCACCTCGCCTCCTAATGCTCACTTCTTTTAAACTCTGCACTTCCAGTTTGAAATGCAAGCTTTCTGTTAAAATTGTGTCAAGCCCAAGCAGAGGTAGCTCTGACATCATCTGGGTCAACAATGATAAAGGTGGATGATTTAGAATAACATGACTTTTTCCTCAGGTTTAAAAGCTCTGATGTAAGGACTCAGCTTCCATCATGGGTCAGGCCTCATGTGCGTCTGTATGGCAGCTTTGGGAACGTAATCCGTGACGTCTCCCAGTTCTTCAGGGTTGCACAGAAAATGGTAGGTTCTATCACTCAATTCCTTGCACTGCAATTGTTTTGTTGATCTTGATTTGGCAGGGGTTGTGATATCTACTGTGACATCAATGCACTAACTCAGTATTTCATGTTTGGTTTTTGGTGCTGAAAGCTAAACTATGTATATTTCAAATATACAGGTGCTTCTCGGTAAATTAGAATATCATCAAAAAGTTGATTCATTTCAGTAATTCGAATCGAAAAGTAAAACTGAAGTGTTTATTTCTTTTAATTTTGATGATTATAACTGACAGCTAATGAAAACCCAAAATTCAGTATCTCAGAAAATTAAAATATTGTGAAAAAGTTTAATATTGAAGACTCATGGTGTCCCACTCTAATCAGCTAATTAACTCAAAACACCTCCAAAAGTTTCCTGAGCCTTTAATCTCTGTCTGTGTCTGTGAATTTCAATTTCAATTTTCAATTTTATTTATAAAGCCCAATATCACAAATAACAATTTGCCTCAGAGGGCTTTACAGCATACGACAACCCTCTGTCCTTTGGACCCTCACAGCGGATAAGGAAAAACTCCCCCCAAAAAAAACCCTTAACGGGGAAAAAAAATGGTAGACAGACGTGCAATAGATGTCGTAAGGAACAGATAAACATGATAAATTAACAGTACTCCGTATGACAAAATGATACATTAAGAGAGAGAGAGAGAGAGAGAGAGAGAGAGAGAGAGAGAGAGAGAGATGCAGGACAGACAGTAATGATAATAGCTTACAATGACATTAATTTAAGTAATAATATTACAATAATAATTACAGCTATTGTGGTACAATATGTCGTAGGTAATATAGTATATGTATGTGACAATAATCATATGTGTATAATGACAGTACAAGCATGACTAATGATAACAGCAGCAGTAGGAGGCATCAGACAAGCAGCACAATCACGTGTCACACCATCCAGGCACCGCTGCGATATGAGTTAACCTGCGAGACAGTGGAACACAAAGGCTCCGGAGAAGAAGCAGAGTTAGCGAGATGCAGTAACAGGACATGTGTTGGCAAAGGAGAGAGAGAGAGAGAGAAGGAGAGAAGGTGCTGGGTGTATTATAGGAGGTCCCCCGGCAGACTAGGCCTATGTCAGCCTAACTAGGGGCTGGTCCAAGGCAAGCCTGAGCCAGCCCTAACTAAGCTTTATCAAAGAGGAAAGTCTTAAGTCTAGTCTTAAATGTGGAGACGGTGTCTGCCTCCCAGACCGAAACATGGCGATTGCTCTAAGACTGCAAGGGAAGCTCAGCTTCCCCTAAAATGTCAAAAAATAAGTTGTCAAATATGTACTGTTGTGTTTACATTTCATTGACTTAATATGCGCTAGAATGCGTTCAACTTTTGTTCAGAATCAGCTACTTATCACAGGTCACTGACGCGACTTTCTTCTCATTCATTCCCGTAGCGTCACAGTGCATTAAACAGTGGAAGCTCAGCGTCCAAGGACTTCAATGGGGAAGTATAGAGTGGGTTGTTCCACTGCAGCGAAACTAGACAGTCATTGGATAAATGCTCGGTTTTGTCCTGCCCATCGGACGCTCAGTGTCTCTGGGGGTCTATGGGGCAGTGGGCTGGCCTCAGCTGGCCTGGACGCTGGGCTTCTGCATGATGATTGGATGATCTGTCTGAGGCTGAATCCCTTTTTGATTGACAGTGAAATGAGCGAATCAGCGATCTTGAAATATAAACCACCACCGGAGCATTTTTCCAAGTTTCATTCCGTTGTTCCGAGTTGATCTGGAGACTTTTCCAATCCTCTTAGTGACTTTTTCTTTGTTAAAAACGACTAGCGACAAATCTAGCATCTTTTTCTGGTGTTATTGGAGACTGTACTCGTGTTTGGAGACTCTGACTTCTGTCACTCTGCAGTTACTGTCCCCAATGAGCAGCGGGTGCTGCTGTGAGCCCCTTCACTGTCCCAAAGCACTCACAGGCTGTCACACTAGCCTCGCGCAGCAGCCCCAGCTAGCGAGCGAGCTAGCAAGCTGCACATAATGGCAGACAATTTGAATATTGTCGACCGGATTTTGGCGAAGCCATTTGATAGTCTTCCTTACTGAGGAGAAACTTAGAGTTAAACAGCAGGGCAGATCAACACCTCAGATTGATTTGGTGCAAAGGGTGGGGAAAAGTAACGGGTCTTTTCACCCATCTGAAAATCTTTGAGGTGTGTTTTGCTGTGGTTCTATGGCATGAGTGTGGTTGAAAAACAGCTTCAATTAAATGCTCCTTTTATAAGTTACTGCCTCGCTACAATATGACAACTTTTATGATGTAAACTTAAAGTGAGCTTCCTCTGTTTGAAAGACCAGCAGCCACCCCTGATATATACATATACATATGTTAGGGCTGCACTATATATGTAAAAACTGACAATGCAATATTTTTTTTTTTTTTTTTTGCAATATATATTGCGATATTAATAAATACAAGATTTTCACCAGATGATTTGAATAGCTCTATTTGGAAAGAATTAGGCTGACTCACCATTGTATTCATATGATACCTTTCTATTAATCCAGGCTAAGGTTAATGATCTAACATGTCATACTCCAGTGTTTCCCCTACCATTATATTAGGGGGGGTGCCCCACCCCCCAAACGGTTTGTTACTTGCTCACGCCCCCCATAGCCCCGAAAAAGGTGCATTCTGTATAAACAAAAGTAGGAAGGCAGCATATTGCCACACTCCCCGATTTTGTTTTTATACTGCCAATGCTGAAATTGGGCTTTCCTGCAAAGTTTACATGTTATGAAAAAAAAAGGAAACATTTCATGTCCTACGATGTGACTATCGCACATGCACACATCACAATGGCGATGTTCAGATGATGTGTCATGCAGCCCTAATATATATTGTGTATTGCCATTCAGCCTGAAAATGCCTAGATATCAAGTTTTTGTCCATATCGCCCAGCCCTATTATATAGTATGGTAGTATGGGGATTGGAACACACAGTCATTCTCTGTTCGTTCCTATAAAAGTTGCCTGGTGGTGCATGAAGCTAGAAAAAGCTTAATTTCCCAGATCTTTGGCATCATTGGTCCCACAATGCAGTCGCACTAGAGACTTATGGCAGCTAAGAGGCTAACTTCTAGTTTAGCATCTGCCAACTTAAATGAAGATAAAATGATTTAATCATGTGGCTCTTGAAGACTTTTGAAATGTTATTGGACCAAATGGATTAAATCCTGATATTGAAACAAGTCATTTTGCAGGGTTGTTATGCTCAAAAAAAAATTTTCCACTTATTTATAGACGTGTCTACCACAATGTAAGTCCATGGGAAAAAGTCTTTTTTGGCCCAGTGGCATTTCATGACAGACTCGGAAGTAGTAATTCCACGTTTGGCCATTGTGTACAATTGCCTCAAAGCCTGGCGTTGTTCCTAGGGGCTGGAAAAAGACCTACTCCATATGTAGATATAAACAGCACATGCTAATGTAACAAAAACACAATAATTCGTAGTTTCAGGTGATTATACACTAACGAAAACATAGTTGTGAATATTGTATTCCATTCCTGCCATTATATCCACGTTAATCCTACATGCTGGTCCTCTGGAGAACCAGTCATATTGATACAATAGAAGACAGACAACTTCTATGAGAAAGGACAATGAAATGGATAAAAAGATACACCCTGTAAACACTTGCCTAATTACATGTAAATGGTGATTCTAGGTAAATACAGTACATTTGACTGTGGCAGAATGCGTCACATCTGCTGTTTGATGGCACTGCATTAGAGAAGTTGATTGCAGTTTAATTTGTCAGCGTATACTGACTGTTTTGGTTGTGTCTGAATGTGTCAGAGACCCGTGGTTGAGAAGAAGGCTGCAGCAGAGAGCTGTGGAACAGTGTCGTTACCAGACACTCGGTCCTCTGACTTCAGTCCCCGCTCATCCTCTCAAAGCTCCCACACCCAGAAGGCCAAGGTGCTGGATGCCCATCTTCCCAGCCTGAAGAGGAGGAGACTCAGTGAGTAGAAAGATAAAGGGAGTAAATCCACAGAGGAAAGTAAGTTCTTCATTTATCTGTTCCTTTTGTCTGGCCTTTGTGATCAGATGAACACACTGGAGCTAACGGGATGGCCAGGGTGTGTATAGAGTATGAATGTGAGATGCAGGAGAGCCAGAAGAGACCGGCCAACCTGCTGGATGCTCTGGAGCAAGGAGATCATTGCAGTGGAGAGGATGATGCGGGAGTAAGAGAAGAGAAGGTAGTTTGTTGTCTGTCTTACCAGTATTTCTGACATGTGCTGGTTGGTACATGTCAAAAAAAAAGAGACTGTGTGAAAATAAGGTCTATACAATAGCCAATTTACTGTGGTAAGCGTTTGGCACAGTACCATTGGCAGTGAGATTGATACAGTGTATAAAAAGCCATGTGTGATGTGCGTCATTACAAATGATACTGCTGTGTTATGCCATGAAACAATTAAAATCTTAATATTTTTATTACCAAGATGACTGTACTGATTTGTTGTATGTAATATTTTTCTCTTGAAGGCAAACCGTTTGTCCACGCTGTCTCTTCAGTGTGACAAGAGGATGGATGATGAATTGCGGGGAGGAAAACGTAAAATCAAATTGGTCCAAGAACAGGTACATATTTAAAAAAAAAA